GCTCTTCGTTTACCATGTCAAATACATAAGCATTGTGACCCAGCTCACTTTGATGCTCGCTGGCGTACACTTCTTTGCGAATATATGATGAACCAACAGACACCATTACGGTAAGTTGTAATTTCTAATGTATATTTAATCATGTATTCATTTGCATCACGCTTATCAAGTAACAATCGAAATATTCATGTTTTCGTATTGTTTCGTTTGTATGATTATTTTTATTTTCTATATTAGTTTGCTTACCCAATGGCTTGTAAAGTTCATTCATGACAAATAGTATGGTATCATAATTAATTAATTAAAAAAAATCTGAATAGCCGTATTTTTTTTTAATTATTTAGATGACCTTATTTTCTGTCTCAGTTATTTAACGAAACTTGTGTTATTTTTAAGAAAACAAGTGCGTAAACTTCTTTTGCTCTTGTGTGGAACTCGGGAACGTTATCGCCAACTGCGCGACGTGCACGCACTTGACACACATTTGAATGCAGCGCGTGCGCTTCTCACCACTGATCCACCGGCATATGATAAGCTTGTGCAACTAATGGATCATCTCAAGGTATGAACTTTTATATATAATATAAATAGAATACATATCAATTATTAAGATTTGGATGAAATAATATGAAAGAGCAAATTAGCTTAGTGCCAAGCTAAATCTGTCACGGGGTTCACCGGATCGATAACAATTATTTTGCGAGTTTAGAATTGTATAATGATTTTTTTTCAGGCATGTGCGGAAATAGTGAGTGCTCGCACTGGCAATTGGCAACACACGTGTAGCGTGGAGCGACGTGAAGCCCTAGGTTGGTTGGTGACTGTAGCGAGACGTGTACACCCGCACGTGGCGCCCACTGTACTGCAACTGCTACAAGCGGCTTTGTGCGCTCCTCCTCACCATCCGCGTCAAGAGACCAAGGTGAAATTTGCATATATCATAGGAAAAAATTTCGGTTTTTCACACATAACAGTACAAAATCAGCTTGTAGCAAACATCAATCAATGTCATGTTATCCATACCAATATTAGAAATGTCAAAAGTACGTTTGTTCAATTGTTTTCCTTGCATACCTCATTGTTATAAAATGAATCGTTAAGCGTTAGCTTATAATTGATCAAACGAGTGAAGCGCGAGTAATAACTCGTTTATAAATAAATAAAAGTTGTTTTATTTAAGATCCCGAGGGATATCAAATGATCCACAAAAATTGATCAACTGCCATTACCTGTAATGTTAACGACCAGGCTTCATTAATTTAGAAACAATATGATTCGAGTTGAATTTATTTCTGTTCTGTTCTGTAATAATCCTGATTACATTTGCTAAATTTCCACATTGTCTATTGCTTTTTGGCTGATTCGTAAATATACTCGATTAATCGAAAATCTTTCTAACAACTTATAGACCTCAACTGACTGGCCTGAACGTGAACGCAGTGCCGACAGTGACGCCTACGTATCTGACGGATCTAAGTTCCAGGAACAAAGAGTACCTGGCTTAGTACAGCAAATATTAAAACAGGTATATCAATTTTTTTGCAATATATGTAATAAATAAAAATTATTACTATTTATTTGCTTATTTAATCAGTAAGTCTATAATGAAGATTGTTTTTTGATATCCTTATGCATATATGATGTTTTTCCGCATAGGTTTCACAAGACGAATTGAGGATGTTCGTAAAAGCCTTCTTGTTGGAGACCAATTCGACAGCTGTTCGTTGGCAAGCGCACGCGTTGCTTTTAGCTATTTACAAGTAAGTTCTTAGTAATTTATTTTAAATATTTTTTCGCTTGTGTTGTTTGATTTATATTGCCGTATTGCAACAAAGATCTAATAAATGAATAAAAATTAACAATGTGATATAGCAACTCGCCCCAACCTGAACAAGCTTCGCTGGTGTCCCTGTTGTGGGCAATCTGGCCCACTCTTCCACAATACGGACGTAAGGCGGCGCAATTCGTCGACCTGCTCGGATACTTCACTCTGAAAACACCTAATATTGACACTGAAGTAAGCTTAATGTTTATAACACAGTTCACAGTAACATCTCGAGCACTGACATGGTTGAATTTTTAAGATTTAAACCTGTAATCTTTAGTTAACTAGCTCGCTCGTAATTGTTGTAAGTTGAGTAAAATTATGCTCTGAATAATTATATTTAATAATTTTCATATATTACATATCTTGAGATTTATTTTATAGAAAAATAATTCGAGATCATTGATCCTTTTAAGTATCAAATATTTTATTGATATATTACGCCTTTTCGACAATACAAAAGTACTCGAGTTGAATACTCAATTAATGATGCTTTCAGAAATACGTAGGCAGTGCTGTGGAACTCCTGCGTAATCAAAATCTCTTGCTAGCGTCGCATGGAAATGCGGCTTTGTACGCCGCCCTCGGCGCTTATGTAGAACTAGACGGATATTATTTAGAGTCTGAGCCGTGTCTCGTCTGCAATAACCCTGAAGTTCCAATGGCGACCATCAAACTACCGACAATTAAGGTTGGTTGTCATATTTGACTTCATAAATCAGCATGCTTTTGTAATCAGATAGTCCCTTTTAGATTTGGCCAGTGCTTCATAGTGAAATGTGTTAGATATTGCGTTACATTGTGATTTTAGTAGTAGATAAATATATAGTAGATTTACGTTGTTAATTCGTTAACTAGTAGTGATAATAGTTTTATAATATTTAATCAAAATACTACCTTAGAATAAATCGAAGTTTTAAATATGTTAAACTTTTACTTCGTACTGAAGGATTCAAGGTGCAATTTTTTGTGACACTATCAACTTAACTATCAATCAGAGACACAATAAAAGAAAAAGGGATGTTCTGTCTAATCGAGAGAATGACGTTGCAATTTATTACCTTGTCCCGACCACATAAGAGCTAATCGGTGCAACTGTATGCAGATCGACTCGAAGTTCACGACAACTACCCAGATAGTGAAACTGGTGAACAGTCATATGATCAGTCGCATCAGTCTCCGCATCGGTGACATAAAGCGCAGCAAAATGGTGCGAACGATCAACTTCTACTACAACAACAGAACTGTTCAGGCAGTGCAAGAATTGAAAAACAAACCTGGTTAGTATATAAATACTTTTGAGTACTACAGGAGTTGTTATCACACGACTCATTAACAAAAAAGTTGATGTTAATGACGGCTTTTTTATCCTAATCCTCAAATAAATTCGATTGAATAATTTTATATAATCATAATCTCGGCTTTATGATTGTTTAAAATTATACTCCATTCATTATAGCATTAGACAGAAGTTAAATAAGGTTCTTTTTATCGTATACTTTGTGATAAAATATCAATAATCATGTTACTCTTAAGACTGACGGCTAATTTGCTACATCTCCACTTAAATTCCAGCTGCTATACTTAACTGTTATCATTTAAGCTATCTATTAAACAAATTTATGAGTATTTGACGAACTTAAGTGATTTAATAACTATTGCAATAAAAAGTGTGCATCTTAAAGAACCCAAAGAAGCAGGGTTGGATAGTTTCGGCACGATTCTCATGTCACTATAACTCTACCAAATTTAAAACGTTGCCTCATCCCTTCAAACGTTTCAGCAGAACAGTTTTTTAATTTTGTCAGACTATATTGTATTCATAATTGTTAAAATACGTAATCTGGGATTGTCATCCGTTGTGAATGCTACTGCCGTTCTAGTTGTTTTGCCGTTTTCCGTGATTAAGTTGTTATTGCTTTTTTATTTTGTTATAGTATTGTATCTGTTGTTAAGTTTGTTAAATATTGACGATGCCGGTGCAGGCCCGAATGACTACAACAATTAAGCTTTAATCCCCCATACCTACCTTCAACCTTTGACATTTCAGGAAGTTTTTCTAATGTCTTCATTTATAGTCTAACTAATGTCTGAATAAATGTTATAATAACAAATTAATTTTGTTTACCTTTCTTTCCTGGGCATAGATATAACTAAATTCTATTCTAATTATATGCACTTACAATTAGAAATTATCAAAACAACAGATAGATAGTTTTAGTTCCATGTTGGCTTGAGAGTGAAAGATGAATTAAGAAAATGCTGGCCTCATCTCAACCCCGAGGTATCGTAAAAAATGGAAAATTGCCCAGCTCTTTCAGACAAACGTTCAGTTTCAACAAAACTATAATATATATTTTTTAAATTCATCTTTAAAATAAAATGTTTTGCGCTGCTGCTTCTATGACCCTCTTTTTTCTAATGTTATAATGAATGGAGTATAGGTAATTAACAAGTAAAGTAACTAACTTCGAAAATATTTATAAAAGTTCTGGATAAAAGAAGATACATATGATGAAAAAAAGTATAGTATATTTATTTCCATTTTCCTATTTAATATTTTCTTTGGTGCATTATTTGTAACGAAAATGGTTGATAAAAAAAATTCTGTCAACAGGAATGTGGCATAAAGCGAAACGCGTGCAGCTTCAGTCCGGTCAGTCTGAAGTGCGCGTAGACTTTCCTCTGCCGATCGTCGCCTGCAATCTCATGATGGAGTATGCAGACTTCTACGAAAACCAACAGGCTACTGGTAAATTATAAAAAGTGCTTTAAATGAAAAAACTATATTATTACAAATATGCTACAGTATGTAGCAACCAAAATAGCACACTTATCATGGCAACTGACAACTTTGTCTTGTATTAGGTGAATCTCTACAATGCCCGCGATGTTCACAATCGGTACCAGCAAATCCAGGTGTCTGCGCCAACTGTGGTGAGAACGTCTTCCAATGCCACAAGTGCCGGTTAGTAATGCATTTATTTAAAAGTATTTTAGTAACATTTCTCATCTACCATGATAATAAAGACAAAATAACTACTTATTATTATTTCACCAGTGCCATCAATTATGACGAAAAAGATCCGTTCCTATGCCACGCGTGCGGGTTCTGCAAGTACGCGAAATTCGACTATACGCTTACAGCGCGGCCATGTTGCGCCGTCGATACCATAGAGAACGATGAGGAGAGGAAGAAGATGGTGCAGACCATTGGTGCGCTTCTAGATAAGGCCGATCGCGTGTACCGCCAACTCGTCGCCAACAAACCCGTTCTCGAGGTCAGACTTAGAATTAATTAAGAACATCTATAAAAAATCTTCAGCTGCCTAATTTGGTAAACCTCTTACTAAACACCGAACTACTTACGAGTACTTAGTTATTAATAGGGTCAGCGAGCTGCCTTACACTCGCTTTGGACACGCGGGTCAGAAGTGAAAAATTTTGTCAAGAGTGTCATGTATTTTTTTTATGTTATTTTTACTATAATGATTTACTATTTAGGTAAGAAACTTATTTTTTTTAATATGTTTACTGTTAATAATTAAATAAGTAATGGAGTATATAAAAAAAATATATAACGAATACCCTTAAATAATGACAATTATCGCGACAAAAGCGGCATTTGTAGCTATTTCAAAAATGTGATCACAAGGCTATGATGAAGTTGAAGATCAATTATTGAAGCGATAAATTAGTTGACTCATAATCGATGGGAAGAAGAAGAAAACGCATTTATTTACAAAGATTAATTTTATCTACAGTCTCTTCTACACAAGATAAGCGAACATCGTCTAGAAGGTCGCGGTGGTGACGAGAACAGCAACGCTAGCAACACATCGTTCAGCGGTGCCCAAATAAACCGCGTTATACAAACGCTCGCTCACAAGTACTGTGTCGACAGCAAAGGACACTTTGAAGACCTTTCCAAGATCATACAAAAAGTACTCGCCTGCAGGTAACACAATATATTTACTGAAATATCGCTTATACTACGTAAAAATATAACGTTGCATGAATATTATTTTTAGTTATTTTAAAATAGCTTGTTCATAGCAAGAATAAACAGTCGACACAAATTTTAATGCCAAATACTTGCTTCGTTCACAGGAAAGAGCTTGTGTCTTTTGACAGATCTCAGAGCGAACAACTGAAAGGCGATACGCTACCCGTTTATGCGGGATTGGTCCAAAACTATGATACTGACCTCACTAAAGGTAATTTTTCCAGTTAGAATGAACATATTTAATTAACATAACCTTTCTCGCCTTAATGAGTGAAATATCTGCAAAGGAAATATGTATAAAGAATAGGGTCTATTCTGTTTGAAATAATACTTGTAACTGTTTATTTTAACTGTGTAGTATTTTTGTTTAAAAATAAATTGTAAATATATTTTATTTTTTTAACCAAACGCGGGCGGCTATGACGGAGCATCGTGTGACGTCACATTTCAATAAACTAAACGTCAACCTGCTTGTTGCGAGTGCAACCAATACTAATCTTTACTGAAATATGACTCTACGGCTCTAAATGTGACGTGACTGCTTGTTTTTGCAGGACAATTAAAGTAATGAATAAAAATATATTTTTCATTTATTTGACAACACTTTTTGGAGAAAAATAAATCTGACAGTTGTTTAATATCATCATAATGCAATTTTACGGAATATGTCTATTCCGTAAAATTGGCTACTTAATTAATACTCATTTTTGGTTTAGAATCTGGTGGCGGTTGCTGCGGCTGTTCACTAGCGTGCGCAGAGCATTGCTTAACTTTACTACGAGCTCTGGCATCGCAGCCTGAGCATCGAACCCGTCTCTGCCGCTTTGGCCTCGTACAAGAACTCGTTCATCACAATCTTCATCGGGGCACACCTCAGGTACGTCAAAATTATAGTACAAGCCTATAGATATTGTTGTACCAAAAATCTTGAACAAAATTATCATATACGAGCCGCATTAGTGTCGAGATTCAAATAAACGTAAGAAAGATTTCGTGCCAACAGTGAAAAGTTACTAATTACGTTATCACAAAATCCTTATCGGCTTGACTTTTTTTATGTGTACCAAAATAAGGCAGCCATAATCTGAATAAAATTTTATTACAATGTTTTCCGTTTTTAGTGTCAAGAAGAAGTACGTGCTTTGATTTGCCTCGTGACTCGTGATAATCTACCAGCCACAGAACAACTCTGCAATCTGTTGAGTCAGAGGATTACTCTATCACTGATGGGACATGCAGCGTCACAAGACCATAATAATTCAGTAAGCTACACCAATTCATATATGACTCTTTAACTACTTGTAATAAAGTTAAAACTTAGTTTTTCTTTTCTTTATACCATTACGTAAATGTTTGTTTTAGGTGCGCCCACTAGTACTCTTATTGGGATCACTTGTCAAAGTTCAAGATTCCGTCGAATGTTGGGAAGCGAGACTTCGCTGTATTGTGAAGTTATGGGTTTGGTAAGTAATTTTTATTTTAAAAGAAGTTATGCGATTATAAATAATGAGTTCTATTTGTTACATTTTTCATTATTCGCCTGTAGGTGTTGCCCTCATCTTACTGAAGTGGCCGGCATAGCACCGGCCGCTAATGCCATTCTGAAACCTGACGTACTGGCAGGCATACCTGGTATCAATACTTCATCGCCGAACTGTAAGTTATTATTTACTTTTTAGTTTTCATACTACTACAATCCAGTTGCCAAACAGAGAATTTCGTACATCAATATTTGTGCTTACTAATAGATAGGGGTCCTAACGTTGGGAGGTTGGTTGTGGAGTAGGCATTGCTGGATCCCACGTCCTTTCCCCAAAAGTAAGGGTGCGTCGGTGGGGTTTATATGGGTTTGCCATCCACGTTTTGACTAGCCTTCTGGCGGGTTCGTGTGGATGGAGAGTCCCACATGTTCCCTGTCGCTTTTCATTCCCATTACGACATAAAAAAACTTTACTATCACTCAATTTCTGAATTAAGTATTTAAAGTTAAGCACGTCTCAAACTGTACTTACACGTCACTTAAACAGGTTTTCGTTTCTGTTTTTAGTTTATTTAATGATCAGTTGATTGATAAAAACTAGGACAAAATGTCCTAATTTTTGTCAATCGGCTGTGAAAAGTAAAAAAAAAATAAGTTATTGAGAATAAACAGTTGAGATATTGTACTTTTCTCAATTCAGAAACCGACTGTATATGACTAAACGGGCTAGACACCTCTTTACCAGCGTAATAGTAATATGTTTATGCACGAGTGAAAGAGATATATCTCTTTCATATATCATGCCGGGTAATTGTACGAAATTCGCTCTTAAGTAAATTACTTGTTGAAATTCAATGTTATTCAAAAATACTTTTAGCTTTTAGCTTAACTTAGAACATTTCAATTAGAACATTCTGTTGTCTATAAAAGAAGTCTTCAATTTCAACTTGATTCTAATTTTTCTTTTTTTTTTTGCACAAATAAAGCGTTCAAATGGCGGACTTAATACTTAATAGAGACTAATAAGGTAGTGCTATAAAAATAAATAAAGTCAATATACACACACACATACAATTAAAAAAAAAATCGAAATAAAATTGTATGTAATGGAATATACATAACAAACATATTATTCATACATAAATATAAAAATGTCAAATTTATGATGTTATAAATATTAATGTTAGTCGGATGACAGTTATATGCATACTATTCATTTTTCGTGTAGCACATCAGTTCGCGCTGCAGCAGGTGGCGTTGCCTTGTATGCGTTATATGCAACAACTTATGGCGCCCGCACCGCCACAACCGTCGACAACCGAAACCGACCAGTCCAAGGAGGCTAAGGTATTGTGAACCTTTATTATTTACAAATTAATAATAAATACAATATGAGTTATGATCAAGCATTTGTGTTTTTATACCATTACCTTAAACTGACGCTGGACTCTTGGTTAATAATAATTTAATCACTCAAATATTAATGTAATTTTTTGCAGCAACATTTTTAATTACTAACTTATTTTCGTTAATAATAAACGATTCCTTACCATGATTTTATTAACGTTGTCGGGGAATTTAATTGTTTGTATTGACAAACAGGAGGGTGTGAACTCAAGTACAGTATGTACTACACCGCACGGGCCATCGCCGTCGTTGAACGTGGTGGTGGATCTGGCATCTTGGTTGGCGGGCCGCGTGCCTCACCAGTACTGGCGGCGATTATCCGCTCCCGCTTCCGATCCTGCGCCCGCGCCCGCCGCCGCTCCCACGCCTGCGTCCGCGCCCGCCACCGCCCCCGTCCCCGCCTCCGATCTACCCACGCTGCCACCGCGCGATGCACATCTCGCTATGAAATACCTTGCCAAGTGGCGCGAGCGGGTTAGTTATTATTGTTTATCACATGTACACTTTATCAGCATTGTCTTGTAAGTAAATGTTATTCAAATTTGGTAGTACATTTTTCGAATATGTAATATGTAAATATGATTTAATTACGATTACTACATGTTTATTTTAATTGCATATAAAAATACTGCTTTAATTTGTTTCCCAAAAGTGAACGTCGAGAAAGACGTGTGAAGAAACCATTCTATCTTGCATCTTGCGTATTAATATATTAATAGCTGTTTTTATAGCAATGTATGTTTCCTTCTATAGACTCTACTGTCCCACGGTATGCGCCCTCTAGCTCTAGAAGACGGCGGTTGGTTACGCCCGGTAATGTTCGATCCAAGTTCTCGCATCGCCCGCGATACAGCTTGCCAGATGGTCAAATCACTCTGCGACTCATATGAACGCACTAAGGCGGTACGTATATCTTCTATAGCTATGAAATATTATTCTATACTACTCCAAATGCTAATACGATTCCAAAGAAACGCATTTTTTGATAATTTAAGATGCAACGAAGATAGGAGTTTGCCTCTGAAAATAATGTTCACGCATATGATTTTAACAAAATTTTAAGAACTATTCGAAATTTTCTGAGTTTACGTTCGAGGACAAATAGAATAGGCTATGTTAGTTTATACGAGTTACATGACGTTGTTTGCGTCATGATAATATAAATGCTTTTTAAATATTCGATAAATAAATTCTTTTAATATTTTGTAAAATTATTTGTAAATGAAATCATTAATTATTGATTATTCCTAATAGAATATAAATATAAATAACCAAGCCTCCCTTAGGAGTTTCCTTTTATCAGTGAATAAATTTTAGTTATACAACTTAATTAAATTATGCAGGTGCTGATTCTTCTTACTAGCTTCTTACCCGAGGTGGGAACAGCGGGTGAAGCCAGTGAGCAATTCTTGCAACTCTACCAAAGTAAGTATCAATAGTCACTTTATTTTTATAAGATATTTATATTCTCATTATTTTTATACTCTTTTTGCTCTTAGGTCTTGCATCTGAAGCACCGTGGAAACAATTCTTGGCGCTACGAGGAGTGCTACAGCAAATAGCCGATTTGATGACCAAAGAGATCGAACAACTCCATCGCCTCGAGGAGACTACACTAACATCAGACCTTGCACAAGGTAATTATTTCGATTCTTACAAATTACCATACTATTTCTTTTTTTTTATTAGAAATCGCTTTGAGACATTAATAAATTGAAAAATAAATATAAGTGCTCAATTAAGTTAAATCAAGCAAAAATTTGCACGTAGTAGGGTATTCTACTCTGTTTGAAATAATACTTTTAACTGTTTACTTTAATTTAAAAAGCCATTAAACAAATATTTCGGAAAAATAAACACGTTTTATTGCCTTAAAATGAAATCAAAATTAACTATTTTATACCCACGAAAACGGGTGATGACGTCATTGTGATATGTATATAAAATCTTAACTCTATTCACGAAACAAGAACAATGCCATCTAACGGTCGATTTCAAAATAAAAAGATATAAATGATCTAGGAATTAGATTTATAATTAATTGTGTTGGCAACTTAATGAAATCAACATTAATCGACCGGAAGTTGACGCCGGTGACGCCATCTTGCGGCGCACAATGACGTTCACGTGCAAGATGGCGACTATATAAGCAAGCAACCGACCTAAGCATGGCAGTCTTAGTTCCGCTCGCGCTGTGACAACTAGTGTAAATTATAAAATAAAGTGTTGTGATTATTGATAGCTATGTGTGATGTATGCAAATTAGTGAATAAATAGTTTGATGATTGAAAGTGAGGTTTTAGTTAACATCAGAAGTGGGATATTAGGCGCCAATGGGCTCTCGCAGGAAGCGCTCTAAACGTCGCGAAAGACGCTCGAGTTCGACGTCGAGTAGCTCGAGTAGCGCTCGAACACCGTCGCCCTCACCGAGACAAAGGAAAAAGGTAGCACACAAAACTGACACCGCGACTGTAAGTACAAACAACAGCTTAATATTGTGCAATATCATACCAGAATTTGACCCGTTAATAGACGACGTAAATGCATGGCTTAATATTATCGAATCTTACTCTCAAACGTTTGCCTGGTCGGATGAAGTGATTCGCTATCAAGCTTTGAACAAATTGAAAGGTTCCGCTAAAACATGGTACGACTCCTTATTACATACTGAATATCAGTGGCCATCTTGGAAATGGAAAGATTGGCGAATAAAGCTATCGGCTTGTTTTCAAAGTAGGAGAAATATTTTTGATCTTCTAAAAGAAATACTCGATAAAAAACCCATAGAAAATCAATCTTTATACGATTTTTACTTTGATCAAAAATGTAAAATCGATCGTTTGTCACTAAACTTTACACAACAAGATATTATATCTATTATTTTAGGGAACATAGGAGAGGCAAATTTATTAGCATCAATAGACGCTAATCAGTTTACAACATGTGATAATCTAGCAAGTTTTTTGCATGGTCGAATATACAAATCCAAATTTCCTAAATCTTCAAATGTTCCTTGTGAAAACCAACCACGACAAACCGTCGCACAACCAACTACTTCCTCCACAAATGGAGGTAGTATAACCATAATAGATCAAACTGTTCCATCTGGTTCACTAGCGACCATGCAGAACATACAACGTAAATCGTTAAAATGCTTCATTTGTGGTGGGAATCATAAACGAAATCAATGTGATAAAAATAAATGCGACTTCTGTGGGAAAAGGGGACATTTAGAAGCTGTATGCTTTCACAAAAAACTGACGAAAACCGAAACGCACGAAACTAAATTTATTTCTACCCCCAACCCTGGTAACAAATTCGTTAAAAATATAATACTAAATCACGTGAAGTGTGAAGCTTTTATAGATACTGGAAGTAGTTGTTCGTTAGTGTCAGAGTCATTCGCAAAGAATAATTGCTTTGAAATTAGTCCTTTATCGTCTCCGATTTTATTGCAAGGATTTTCTAAACAATCCTCAAAATTTGTGAGTCATAAGATAACCGTTGATTTAGAAATGGACTCTATAGCTTTAACGCAAATTGACATTTATGTGCTTGATGATTTGATGGATTATGATATTTTGATAGGTAGGAATGTAACTGAGCGATCAGATTTGATGTACATACGTGTAGGAAATACCTTTAGGTTTCATTATGCAATAGGGTACAGCGAATCCTGTAAAAGTATCAATGAACTAGATTTAGACACCGACTCTCATCATAACGAGTTAAAATGTATTTTCAGTATATATAGAGATTGTGTAGCACTCAATACTAAAGAGTTAGGGAAAGTTAATCATCACGAAATGGAAATTAACGTTAACAATATACAACCGATTCAGTGCAGACCTTTTAGGACTTCTAATAACGATAGAAAAATAATACGTGATATAGTAAATGAACTTTTAGAAAATAACATCATACGCGAAAGTAGATCGTCTTATGCGAGCCCCGCACTTCTTGTAACAAAAAAAAAAATGGAGAAAAAAGACTTTGTATAGACTATCGGTTATTAAACAAAATAACTATTAAGGATAAGTACCCTATGCCACGTATTGATGACCTTATTAATAGACTTTCTGGTCACAAATGTTTTTCAAGTCTTGATTTCAAAAGTGGTTATAATATTAATGAACGAGAATTCAATACCCAAAACTGCATTCATCACGGAAGATGGCCATTATGAGTTTCTCAGACTCCTCTTTGGTTTAGTTAATGCACCATCTTGTTTTCAATATATGATGAATAAAGTTTTAGGTAATTTAAGGTTTAACAATGTAATAGTTATTTAGATGATATTTATCTTGTAACAAATACGGTGGAAGAAAATTTGAAGTTATTAGAACAGATATTGCAAATTTTTAGGATGAATGGTTTGACTCTGAATCTAAAAAAAGTGTCATTTCTTCAAAAGTGAAATAGAGTTCTTAGGTTATCGAGTAAAGTCTGGGAAAATTATGCCAAATGAAGCGAAATTAGAATCAGTTAGGCAGTTTCCAAGACCCAAAACAGTACACCAACTTCGACAGTTCATTGGTCTAATAAGCTATTTTCGGAAATTTATTAAAAATTGCGCAATGATTTTGGTGGCTTTGACAAAACTGTTAAAGAAGGATACTACCTGGGCTTGGGAAGACAAACAAGAAGAGACATTTCAATCGTTAAAAAATAAATTAACATCAGATAATTTCCTGTCTATTTTTGATCCCAATAGAGATAGTGTTTTATACACTGATGCTAGTCGAGAGGGTATTGCAGGAATACTTATGCAAATTACAAATGAGGGAGAAAAACCAGTCCATTATTATAGTAGGCAAACTACCGAAAATGAAAAATTATACCATTCATTTGAATTAGAACTGTTGGCAATTATTTGTTCGCTCCAAAAATTCCGCCTCTATCTGTTAGGTTCAAATTTTAAAATCATAACTGACTGCAGTGCTGTACGATATGCGCTCACTAAAAAAAAAAAAAATATTGTCCCACGCATAGCTCGATGGGTATTAGCTACACAAGAATTTTTATTTGAAACTAGCTGACCCGACAGACTTCGTCCTGTCAAAAAGATTTGTAATGTGGCAGTTTTTTTTTTTGCCTACGTATTTAAAAAAATTCTGCGTGCCGAAACTAATACAAAAGAAACGCGAGTTTCGGAACGCGACATTAAACTCCTCCAACTATGTATTCTGTGCTCCAACGCACACACGCACATTGTTTTGATAGATATGATCTTTGACGTTAGGAACACACCTACATTGCTTAGACAACAGTGAGTGCTTGTAATTTAATATGAACTTTATACCATAGCAATAAAGCTCAAATTGACTACGTTTTAGTTACAAATCATTTGTATGGGAAAAAGAAAAGGACTATTTTTAGGGTTTTTCCAGCAATAATTCTAATTTTTCTCGCCGTAAAAACCATCCTTGAACTTCAACGAACATTTTAAAAAAAAGATTTGGCCAAATTGGTCGAGGCGTTGTTGAGTTATGCGCTTACCAACACACTTTGCGATTCATTTTTATATATATATAGATAGATTGTCCATAGAGCAGGTACACGTATGCTGCATGTTGATGCATTAAGTCGAAATCCTGTAGTTTCGGGGGGAAAAGTCTGAAGTTGAAATCATTATGTCCATTACTGAAGCAGATTGGTTGCTGTTAGTGCAAACACAAGACTCTAAAATTCAACAATTAAAATCAATTTTAGAATCGGGAGAGGCCGACCCAAATAGAGATGTTTTTGACAAATACGAATTGCTTGGGTCAAAAGTTTACAGAAGAACAGCAAAGGGTCGTCGATGGTCGGTACCAAAAAAATGTATTTGGCAAATAATTAAATACAACCATGATGACATTGGACATTTTTCTGTAGACAAAACTGTAGAAAGAATATCAAAGTTTTACTGGTTTCCCCACATGCGTCGTATTATAAAAAAGTACATAAAAAATTGTTTAAATTGTATATACTTCAAAAACAAAGGGCCAACCAAGGAAGGCGAATTATTTCCAATGCCAAAATATGCTCAACCTTTTCATACACTTCATTTAGACCACTTGGGTCCATTCAAAGTCAAAAAACTTGTGGGAAATGACAGATATGAGGTAACGGATCTTAAAGGAAGTGAAAGATCCTTTAAAAAGTATACTGGCGTGATAGCGGCTGAAAATATGAAGCCGTGGATTAAAATAGACAACTGGAATGAATCTGAATAATTAAGTGATTATATTATGTATATAATAGATATTCGTGTTGGCAAGGTAAACACCTTAATATACTGTTTTTGGTATCTTACCTAATTCATAGTTTATTAAAAATAGAACACATAAAAAAAAAAAATTATGTATACGAGTAAAATATTACATCAGGCATAACAATTTGGTTTATAAAGTAATACGAGTATACACGTAAGGTTTGCGAGTCAAGATAAAATGCTTTAACTTATATTTATGTCACACATTAGTAATTGTTGTAAACATATTGAAAGGTACATAGGCATAATTGTGAGTGAACTTGGTACGCTCAAGTGGGTATATCCCTTTGAGTGCAAGTGGCTCTATTATGCAGGGTGGAAGACTAACTTGGTCTCTTAAGTGCGGCAGAGTCCCTTTAAGTGCAAGTAGTTTTCTAACAGACAAACAAATGTGGAAACAGTTACTTATGTGTGATATTAGTAACAATATGACCGCATTACCTTACACCTTTATTAAGTATATGTTAAACTACTAATAATAACATATAACTTTTAAATATTTCCTGTAACTGACTTGTTATTTTAATAAATAGAAATTAAAAATACCTAAAACCGTCGGTATTCCAAGGTAAATAAATAAGTTACCTAAATATAGTTCATGCGTGTAAACATACTGACTCGTATATAAGTGAGGTAGGACGTGTTGAACCAACTCGGTATGCTTAAGTGAGGTTATTGCCCTTTGAGTGCGAGTGGTTGCAAAAACTAAGACTAACTTGGTCCCTTAAGTGTGGTAAATTCCCTTTAAGTGCAAGTGGTCTTCAGTTTAGTCGTCACGGAAACAAAGACGAACTTGGTCTCTTAAGTGTGGTAAATTCCCTTTAAGTGCAAGTGGTCTTCAGTTTCAAAATATTCTGTTTGCGATCAGTATGTGAACATGTTAAGAAGACTGAACATTATACGTGTGACATTTACATTATTTCATATTTAATTTCATATTATCAGTTTCAGTATATTCCATAAAATTGTGGCGTCTGGGGCAAACGCCTTGCAGAATGGCCGTGTTGGCAACTTAATGAAATCAACATTAATCGACCGGAAGTTGACGCCGGTGACGCCATCTTGCGGCGCACAATGACGTTCACGTGCAAGATGGCGACTATATAAGCAAGCAACCGACCTAAGCATGGCAGTCTTAGTTCCGCTCGCGCTGTGACAACTAGTGTAAATTATAAAATAAAGTGTTGTGATTATTGATAGCTATGTGTGATGTATGCAAATTAGTGAATAAATAGTTTGATGATTGAAAGTGAGGTTTTAGTTAACAATTGGCATATCTGTATGACTTATCTGACAGCTGTCGCCACAGTCGCGTCATACAATAGCGGGTCCTGTTTCAAGTCACGTGCCACACAGACTTTGCAAATTTCAGTTTTTTAATAAGTTAGTTAAAAGAAAAAGAAATGACTATCTTTGGTCCATTCGTTTCCTTATTCCTTTCAATTGTGTAGAGTATATAATATTTGAAATTGGCATTCAAATGGAATATTGATGGCTTTCTACACGAAATATATTTATAACATCGTTCCAAATATTCATAGGCTACGCTCTGAAACGTCTGACGGAGTTGCTAGCCATGTTCTTGGAAGAAGGGGGCGCTCGTCGTGCGTACAAGGGTCGTTTGGTGGGTGCCGTACTGGGCGGATATCTATCATTACGGCGCCTGGTCGTGCAACGTACAAGACTCACTGACGACACACAAGAGAAGTTGCTCGAGTTGCTTGAAGAGATGACCACCGGTAAGTTTATATTATTCTAAATGATATTGTAATTCAACCTTATTTTTCGACACAATTAAGAATTTAAGAAAAAAACTGCAGACGAATTAAAAAAAAGGACCTATTAGTGTTAAATTCTAATACTATATAATTTGGACTGAAAAACTAAAACCAATTAATTATTATATTTGATCAATATTGCATTCACAATGCCACACTGAATAGCCACACTGAATAATATTCTTAATGTAAAATGCTTGAAAAATCTACTTGTGCCAGGTACTCTGAGTTGGGACTCGACCTTTAGGAACCCGGGCGACTGCTTTAACCATTGAACTATCCAGGACCTTACAGGACAGACGAATTTACTGAATTGATGAAATTACGCTCACTAGTAGCAAAAAGTAATAAGTGCTTGAAAAATTCGTTAGTCCTGTTAAGTCGTGGGTTTGAGTGTGTGAAATTTGATTTTTTTAAAGCATTTTTTATTAAGAAAATAATTAAAAAACAATAGTATGTTTATGTTTTTGTAATACATCTGAAAAATTGAAAAAAGAAAGATAATCAATTCATATTGTTTCCATTAAAGTGCCCTTGAGACAGTGAAAATTGGCTATAAATAAACAAAACTGCACATAAGCCAATTTATCGATGCATAATACGAATTTGTTGTTATAAAATTTGCAAAATTCCTTCCATAGGTACGGAGGCAGAGACAGCAGAGTTCATGTCAGTTTGCATAGAGACAGTGCAGAAGTATCCACTGCACGATTACCGCACGCCCGTGTTCATATTCGAGCGGCTCTGTTCAATCATCTATCCAGAGGAGAATGACGTTGGAGAGTTTTTCCTGACTCTCGAAAAGGATCCGCAGCAAGAAGATTTCCTTCAGGTATGACGTTTGTATATCCGAATCTTGGAGACAGTAACAATCTACATAAAAAAAAAATTATAAACTTATTTATTAGAGTACTGTTTCCATTACATAGATACAGAGAAGCATTGAAGACCTTTATTTATTACTAGGTGTTGTCCTGCTACTTGGCACGCTTAAACTATAGCCTATGTTAACCCCATATGATGTAGCTACCCATAGGTGTTTTTTTTTAAATCGGTCCAGTAGTTTCGGAGCCTATTCGATGCAAACAAACAAACAAAAATAAATCTTATGAGAATAGATTCATTAAAACTATCTAACTTATTTAATTTTAAGATAGCAATTTCAAAATTCTATTTTATTTGATTCCAAACAGCTTCGTTTTTTATTCTATTAATTCCTATAAAAGTCACATATTGCTGCTTGGTCAGATAGAAAACTTTCATTTGAAGTATTTTTCTTCCTCATAAGGGGCGGATGTTAGGCAACCCATACTCATCGCTGGAGCCAGGCATGGGTCCTTTGATGCGTGACGTTAAAAATAAGATATGCACTGACTGCGAGCTGGTTGCATTGCTCGAGGATGACAATGGTATGGAACTACTAGTTTGCAACAAGATCATGTCACTCGACCTGCCTGTCAAGGAAGTATACAAAAAGGTAATTTTTTTTTTGTGAATAAGTTAATGCAGTTTTATAAATTAAGTGATATACATATTTTAATAAATGTAATACTTTTTACACTTTTCAAAAATTTTTGTTATGTTTTTTGTAATGGTAACAATTTCGGCTATCATGGGAATTGCTCGCGTTGTTGCTGGACGATTAACGCCTGGTTTCTTGGCGATGAAGGCGTTTTGAGTAGTTGCATAAGAATGGGCTACTTGATTGTTTTGGGAAAATTGTTTAAAAATTTCATCTGTTCATATTAAACCATTATCAGATTTATTTACTCCAAACTATGTTAGATAGAGGAAAAACACATTTTAATTTATTCATTCAAATTTTGAAAATATTCACGTCACCTGACATTTTGTGCAGTGATGTCACGTTTCAATAAACATGAGTAATCATGTACTCGTAATTGAAGTATAGTTTATAGATGTAATGTCACAGGACTTTCCGTCATAGTTGCGCCCGCATTTCTGTCATAGTGGCAACAGCGTTTCGGTTCTTGTAATCCGCAGATTTCTAAATCACAAGTTTATTTTGCAAAAATTAAACATACACACAAAATACTACATTGGTACTGTTTACATTTTTGTTACCATTTCCAACACATTTTATAATTTGTAAAAACTTGTAAACTAGCCAATTGTGAAGTCACAACGAGCAATTTGAAAATAAGAGGGAAAATTCATAACTTCATATATTTTCAACACAAATGTGTAAATTTTATTATAAAAAGTAAAAATTTCTAAGGCACTAAAAACGTATTTTTAATGTAGGTGTGGTGTACATCGGGTGAGGGTGTAGATGCGATGCGCGTAGTGTATCGCATGCGCGGTCTCCTCGGCGACGCTACTGAAGAATTTGTGGAGACACTCAGTCAGGCCAGCGCTGAAGCCGTGGATGACGAACAACTATACCGAATGGCCAATGTTCTCGCCGATTGCGGTAAATAGCACCTGAATATTCCAAAAAATATATTAGAATATTGTAAAAATTTCTGTATCCTAAATTAGTGTATACTTTAGCATGCTTTCCTATTTTAATCATAATAAACTTTTGAACTACTTGAATCGTCAGTTCTTAAAAATCGGTTTAAATAACCTGTTTTCCAAAATTAGTCCTGTAAAGAGCACAAACAAAATAATACATTTTGTATCAATTATGCTGATAACAGAGACTGAGTTGAATGAAACCACTATATTTACTCATCAAAATAATGACAGGTGATAGAAAAATTCTGACGATTTTGTGCGTTCTGGAGTCTAAGCTAAGGCAACCCTGTAATTCAGCACTCCAAGTTCACCCGAATACCAACACGGTTTAAATAAAATAAAACGTGTGCATGAGTACGATGATATGTTAGAATACGTGTGCATGCCTGCATGCGTACACGCGCGATCGCAGATTTTACTATAGAAGAAATGTATGTATAAGAAGAAAAAAAAAAGAAAAATTATCGAGCAGATTTTGATAATGATTTTGTGCCCGAATGTCAAGGTTGAGAATATATTATAATAATAAATAAGAAAATTAATAATTATTAAACTACCAACGCAGGTGGGCTAGAAGTGATGTTGCAGCGTCTCGCAGCTATACAGCGCGTGGGCGCCGCTCGGTCTCTATGCTCCACTCTGCTCCGGCTGCTGTCGTTGTGCGCGCGCGTGCGCCGCTGCGTGCGCGTGCTTACGCGGGCGGAGACGCGCGCGCTGCCAGTTCTACTGCACGCGCTGCATCTCGCCGCCGATGAAGAGCGAGATATGCCGCGCGCACATCTAGTCTATCAACTCCTAGAGGTATACGTCACGTCAATTTGATTTTTATTTTTTTCCCCCACTAATGGCTGGTTTACATAGAAATAAGTAGATTTTTTATTTATTTTTTAGTGATTATTACCCTTTTTCTCAATTGCTTATTTAAAGTTAAGCACATTTCAAACCGTATTTAAGCCATGTTAAACGTTACTTAACAGGCTTTCGTTTATTTTTTTAATATTTGATAGCATTAAGATAAAACTAAGACTTTGTCGAGTGAAATGTAAAAAAATTAAGTTATTGGAATAATCTGTCGAGATTGCGTACTTTTCTCAGTTTAGAAACCAGCTGTAACTACTTGTAAATACACAAATAAATTGAAAGTTTAAATTTAGTAACTACTTTTTGAGCTTCATTAGAATAAAATTGAAACTTGCTACTCATTAGTTATTTATGTGCATTCACGTCGTTTCACTTAAAGTTAAAAATCTAATTATATAGTTATTTACTAAACCACCCATTAGTTCAACTAAAATAGAGTTGAAATTGTTTAAGAAATAAAGTTGTCGTCGCAGAGTTGGACAATATAGCCGAAAAGCCAGTATGTAATTCCGATATTTTTTAGCACTCACTCAAAATATAATACAGAATGAATGTATAATTATACTTATATAAGCGATAGATTATCAGCTAGTTATCTAAATGCGTAGGTCCACAAGATCCCTGAATCAGCTTTGTCTTAATTAGTTCTTGTCGCTGCGTATAACTAGCGCATCGTGAAAACTTCTACTGATAGGTACATCATCCATGTCCATTTTACGTTTATTTAATGAGTAAATAGTAAAAAAATCGTTGATTTGTGTAATATAAGTTTTAAATATTATTTACATTAGGTGCTGTTACCGGAATTATTTAACTACGATTCCTACCTCCGCATTAAACACCTTCAAAAATTGATCTTGTTTCAGATAATGGAACGCATTTTGTCAGTCGCGGCGAGTGAAAGTTTGGAATCGTTTTTGCAATTCTCCCTAACGTTTGGAGGACCCGAATACGTTCAAGCTCTTCTTAACTGCACTGAATGTCCCGGTAACTTCATATAACCTTGATTAACAGATCTGTTGATAATTGATCTATAGTGTATTAATTGATTGATTTAATACATCCAGCAACAACATCACCAACTTATTATTGTCACCTTTGCTGGGGCTCAGACCGTCCCTTTCGATGGAATTTAATCAAATAGGGAAAATAGGCCATGACCACCACGTGGGCTCAGAGCGGGTATTAACGATCGCAGATGTAGCCAGGACGGCACAGCTTAACGTGCCTTCCGGAGCACGGAGGAGCTCGAGATAATAAAATTTTGGTCACCCATCCTATGATTGGCCATTGCGAAAGTTGCTTAACAACCGTATAGAAGACCGAGCGCGTTAACCACTGCGCCATCGAGCTCCATTCATCCATTGAGTACATTATGAAGTTTTATTTCGCTTTGACTACATCCACGGTATTTTGTTTTGTAGGAATTCGTAGCAACTCGGTAGCATTAGGTCATCTAACACGAGTGCTAGCTGCACTAGTGTACGGTAACGATCTCAAGATGGCGATGCTTGTGGACCACTTTAAGCCTGTGCTAGACTTCGACCGACTCGACTCTGAACAGTGGACGGAGGAGGAGTTCCGTATGGAGCTGTTCTGTGTATTATGCGCCAACATTGAAAGGAACTCCATAGGAGGGACGCTGAAAGATTATCTCATATCGCTCGGAGTGGTTCGTGACGCACTAGAGTATATTGTGGTAAGTATATGTACGGTAAAAACAATTCTTCTTTAAGTAAAAGAAGAATTGTTTTTACCGTAAATTAATTTAGGCATACACAGACATTTTCGTAAATTAAATAGAAATTGTCTTTGGCGGTTCATCATGTAAACGGTCTTGTGTCTTGTTTTCTGTAATCTGACGACATTATGTCGTTAAATTAACTTAATTTAGATCTTATTTCTGAGCCAATAGCAGGCCTGGATCCTGGGTGTGGGGTTCTGGGAGAGGGGGCAAGTGGGGTCTCTTATCCTGGGCGCCAGTGTTAGGTGGGGCCAAAATCATAATTATATGATACTTATTTACAATAAAAAAAGAACGAGCTTTACAAAATATCTTAATACACCTACATAATAGGTTACGATGGGACGGACATGCTTCAAAATCCCTAAATGGAATAAAAGAAAAATGTCATACATGATAATATAAAATCCGGTTTAACAGAGCGTAATACGACATATAATCAGCCCAGAAGATATAACATTTCTAAAAGCTAGAAATATTATACTGTTTGAAGTCTACCGGACTAAAGGAGTTACTATAGCTCTGATGGCAAGTCACAATAGATCTTAAAGGTCACAGTAACTACAGTTCCTCAGGGAACTGCATAGCCCCTTATAACAACAAATGATAATAACAGAGCGTAAGGCGGGGGGAGGGGTATAGTGGAAAGGCGCCATACGAACTTTCTGTCCCGGTTAAAAAAAATCTTAGATCCGGGCCTGGCTATTAGTGTCATGAAGTGGAAGAAACGTGGTCTTATTACACTTTGCTGATTACCTTTATAAATGTACTAATTTGTAAAACATGTATTGTAGCCTTTATTCGTCAGCTCAGTGTTTCGATGTTGACGTTTAGGTTTTCTCTTTGGCTCAGAATAAGAAGTATCAATAGAATTTATGTTGCGTATATTACAGGGGATTTAGTTCGGAAGTTATGTTTGTCGATAGGAGTTCTTAATTTGAAGTTTGAATAAATACATTTATATTTTTAAAATAACTTTCTAAGAACAAATTTTGTATTTCAGAAACATGCGCCATGCGTGAAGCCGACCCTAGTGTGCACGGATTCGGATGAGCTGAAGGAATTCATCAGCCGTCCCGCGCTCAAATATATACTCCGCTTCCTCACCGGACTTGCCACCGACCATGAACCAACACAGGTACGTATCAGCATTGAAATTCGTATAGAGAAGTATATAAATAATTATCCTTCTTTTTATGACTGTTTTACAGACTCACAAAGATAGACTATGTTTAAAAAATGTATTTGTATATAAGAATCCGGACTAGATACTTCAGGAGATAATTTTTTTACGGAAATATACAAAAAGTATTTTTTTTTTATAGAAATGATTGTCAATTTATAACGTTACGTCTCCCTATATTTTAGACACCATATGGGTTGTATTATTCTATACTTGCAAGCTGAAATAATATTTTGCACATGTGAAAATTGAGTGGCAAATTTAAACGAATTGCCAATTCTAACAACAACAAAATCACTCATTAGCTACATAAGTAAATGAGGAAAAATTGGATATATTGAATATAGATATATTTCATGTATATTTATAAAAAAATATATATTAAAATTATCTACACCCCTATTAATATTAACATACTGTAATTAGATGCTGGTGTGCGAGAAAGTGATACCTATCGTACATCGGCTTGAACAAGTGTCATCTGGGGAGCACGTGGGCTCTTTGGCAGAGAACCTTCTGGAAGCTCTTCGCTCTCAGCCCCAGTGCGCCGCTAAAGTGCAGCAAGTGCGCGACTTTACACGACAGGTTAGTGTCTTCATTTTCAATTACCACTCGTTCGGATAACAATATTCAAATGATTTATTTATATATAGTATAAAATAGAGTTGCTTCCTTTTGTCTGTACACAGAGATCTTCAACTGATTTTAATTCGATTTTCGTAAATAGATGGAGATTTATATGTATAATTAATATAGAAGCACGCGGGTTAGCTAGTTAATCATATAAATCAGTAGTAGACGTTCCCCTCACTTCAAACGTTAACCAACAACCTAAGTAATAAGACTTAAAACTTATTATTGAATTTATTTCTTGATCACTTTCATGCAGTAGTATTCCCTCTCCTGGGGCACAGGCCAACCGAGAGGAAAGAAACGAGAAGAACACGCTATAATGCCTTCTACAAGGGCCCTTATGCAATCGTGACCGCCCATTCCATGAGCAACCTATGCAATCAAATACCGAATATGTTGTACCACCCGTTGCCTCTGTATATAACGAAACATTCACCGTGTAACATTGACCACAGGAGAAGAAACGCTTAGCGATGGCCGTGCGCGAGCGTCAACTGGGCGCTCTAGGGATGCGTAGTAACGAGCGTGGTCAAGTGACGGCGCAGTGTTCCCTGACGCAGCAGGTGGCCGACCTTGCCGAGGAGGCGGGGGCGGTGTGCTGCATCTGTCGCGAGGGCTACAAGTACCAACCTACCAAGGTATTAATTTAAAACTAATGACATATGGCAAGTTTGACTGAACGTTATACAGGTCGTTAATAGGTAAAAGCTCACACTTTGCTCTCTGAACGTTTTATATGTATGTATGTATAATAATATGTAATTTTATATGAATTAATTTGTAGCATATTTGTTAGTTGACTTTACGCCGCCATTGTATTTTTCTATTTCCCAAAGTTTAACTGGTAGAGAATGCTATTATTTAATTTTATTATTTATTTAATGCTATTATTTAGTTCGCCTTTTGTACCAATTTAATGATCAAATAAAAGACATCCAGGGTAAAAATTCTCATAAATGAGTTTGTACAGTCAACAGCACGTGAGGCTATACAAAACTGTCAATTTTCTCCAGTTGATTTTAAATGTTGTGCATTATCGATAGAGTCCAAATTTGAGGAAATTGACATATTGTGTTAATCGGACGTGCAGCCGTGCTTACCACATTCAGTAACGCTAAAAAACTAAAAAGAACTTACTTAAAACTTTCAATTGATAATATTCAACAGGTACTAGGTATTTACACGTTCACTAAACGCTGTCCAGTGGAAGAGTATGAAGTGCGCGCGCGCAAGACTTTAGGCTATACGACCGTTTCTCACTACAACATTGTACATGTCGAATGTCATACGGCCGCTGTGCGTTTGGCGCGTGCCAGGTGAGTTAATGAATTTTAATATCGTATTAACTATAGGATTAATATATTCTATAATTATTCAGTACATTTCATTATAGCATTCGTTTTAAATATCACCGCTACTTACATAATGGACTTCATAATTCAGTACCATAATATGGGTGAAAGAATTTTTGCCTATATTATGGTACTGAATTATGTAGTACAGTCGGAAATCGGTCCAGTAGTTACAGAGTCCTTTCAGTGCAAACAAATAAATAATCAAATATTTCTGCCTCATAATAAATAAAAAAAATAGTATAGTATATATAACATTTGTTATAAAATCGGCCTACTGTTCTAATTAGGGACGAGTGGGAAAGCGCGGCGCTTCAAAACGCTTCGACGCGATGCAACGGATTACTGCCGCTGTGGGGACCGCACGTACCCGAGTCCGCCTTCGCTAGTTGTCTCGCTCGGCATACCACCTACTTGCAGGTAGGCTATGATTAGCATGAGCTAATATAATTCTCGATTAAATATCATCTCAACATTCACTCCTTCTTTTGCATATCGTCTTTCACATAGTCTATCCATCTTTTCTTCGGTCTTCATCTCTGTACATTTTTTTCCACATTTAATTTTTTATCATCACATACTGTAAACGACTGATAATACTATTTAGCCGTCTTTTTTTAGAGAATTTTTAGCAAATTAAAATACGTCTTTTTCTTGTGACATATATTGCAAAAACCAAAGTAATCGATATAATGAACAAAAACATTATAAAAAAATAAATATAAAAACCATAAATAAAAATGTATCAAAAAGGTCCCATTCAGGGACACATACCGAAATAATCAGTTGCTTCTCGAATTCTCTTTCAAATTTCTTCTAATGTACTCATTTTCAGTTTTTCATTTGCATGAATATAAATATTTTGATGTTAAAATTAAAATAAGTCTTACAAGAGGCATGATTACATTTGCAACGAAGAGATAAAAAAGTTATTGAATAGTTTGACTTGACCGCTCCGTTGGTTCAGACGTGTGAAAAGAGTGACGAAAGAATCTGGTCTCAACCAGGAGGCATATCCAAAAAAAAAAATCTCGTCCAAAAAATGCAAATTTACTAAAATTCCTATTGTTATTGTGTGACCAGGAGTGTACCGGCCACCGCGACATTGGCCACACGTGCACTATCCACGACCTGAAGCTGTTGTTGTTGAGGTTCGCTAGAGGGCGCACGTTCCACGACGACACCGGCGGCGGCGGGCCGCTCTCCAACATGCAACTGGTGCCCGCGCTCGTACACATGGCGCTATACGTCATCAACACGTCAGTATACACACTCTCGTTACATAGCAACATATTACCAATGAGAGCTTTATTTATTCGTCGGAGAAAACTGTAAAGCACAGTTCTTGCCGTTTCTCCTCCGTCACTGCAGGCCTATCTACCAAAACCCCTACCCTACCCCCTTTTATTTTTGACCGAAGGGAACCGACTTTAATATTTCATCGACTTGGATGAGAGGTCAACTAAACGTGGGCTTCCAACCACGAGGGATGGCAGTCCAGTGTAGTTGGCCTATCCGGCCTTCCGGCCACTCCTCGTCCCCCCTCTCGAGCTTGACTTCTCAGGCAGCGAGCGATATATCAGAACGTTCTCGATGCCCCGACCCCTCCTGTACACCTGGAGAATAAGTGCTGGGGATCCGTGATCGAGTCGTCTGGAGAGGCTCCGGTCCATTGGAAGCTTCTATACCGGCGAGGACGTGCATTGCAGGGGTGGCTGCCGACCAACCCTCGATAGAGGAGACGAATTTGTTCTACTAGCCTCTTGAATCACTCTGTATATTTATGAGAAGTTTTATATTATAATGGATTTTAATATAAAAATTTAAATGGGTATGGTAGGTCTCGCGTGGCTAGTCGTGAAATGTCAGCATTGGAGGCGTCGCTGGCGTGGTCGCCGGCGAGGGTACTGGAGTCGGCACATGAAGCTGAAGGACCGCTGTACTTCGCTACACTCGCGCTTCTGCTGTATCCGCACGACAAGTGAGTACAATGTGTATCAACCGGCATTATTTTTATGTGGTCTGACTATTTCGCTGATGCTCTTACACTTCTATAGACTTTCTTGAGCGCCACTCGATTAGGGATGTGGTATTAATAAAATAATTTGTAATATTTAAAGTAATGATGCCATGCGTATGCGTCCATCAATTTTGATATTAGCTATTTTATCGCCACTTCGCCTACATCAATTATAGCCTATGCTGTTCGAGCACGCTGTAACTTCCAGTCCAAATCGATCCAGTATTGTCGAAGGCTATTCAATGCAAACAAACAAATAATCAAATGCTTTCTCTTAATAATAATTAGTACAGATTAGGTTTGATAAAAACACAACATTTATTTAAAAAAAATGACGTACAATTTATTGAAGCCAAGTCCTTTTGGATTAAGTTAAAGTAAGAGTCAAAGCAACGGCTACAAGATTTCTTTTACTCTTTAGCAATTACTATTTTCTTTTCTTTTATAGTGACAATTTTGTTACGATTTTAATTATTGATTTTGATTGTTTTAGTTCTATGAATTTATTTAGTTTGTAAATTCATTAATGATTTAAAAAAGCTAACGCTCTGTAGTAGCGAAAGAGTTATAAGTGATTGAAAAGTTCATCAGTTCTGCTAGAGCAGTCCCGCGGATTGCGAAAGTTCATAGGTTCGAGTCCCATCTCAGAGTGTTGCATTCATAATTCTATGTCGAAAATATTTTTCAATATGGCATTATGAATGCAAAATTCATTAAACATAATAATAATTATATAATCACAAAAATTACTCGTACTGTGGTCTTTGTCATGATGTATAATAACCGTTATTTATGTAGATGGAAGTCGGTCCGCGTGGAAATGTTGAAGCGCATGTTGGTGATCGGTCACGTGCGCGCCGTGTGCCCCGGCGGGCCGCCGCTGCGGGCACTAGCGGCGGAACAGCGCGCGCCCCGGCAGTGGAACGATTATAAACCTTACGCGCTGTTCATAGCGGTCATCGATTTGTTATACACCATCATGTTCAAGGTACGCTACGACTATCACTATTTTATGTTGCAAAAACGATTCTTATATTATACAGATTTGATTATTTATTTGCAGTGGAATTGGGTTAATTGGGATATCGAGGGACCGAGGATTTTGTACTATAAAGAGGTCTTCATTTATCCAGTTTTCCAATTAGACAGGATTAAAATTTTGTTGTCTCGTTTACAGAGGCTCCCGTTTGTAGAGGTCGAAATATGCCGTTATTCCATTAAATAGGTGGTAATATAAAAATGCGTTTTTTTTAGGTATTATCAATTAAGTGTTCGTATATAGGTATTTCTTATAAAAAGAACAATACAGTAAAAGTGTCGTAGTGCCAAAACCAGTCCCATCCTGATAAATTGTCTCACTTGGGAATTGAACTACATAGTCCTAATTATAGAAGTAATCATCGAAAGAATCTTAGAAATCAAATCTCATTTAACCAGCATCGAAAAGTTCCATTAATAGAGTGCCTGGACATCATTGCAGTTCTCAATAATGGAGTTGACTTAACCAGGTTTCAGTGTATAGCACACTAGCTATGCCCGCGGCTTCGTTCGCGTGGAAAATAACCTAAGTTATTCCTTATTACACAAGTTTTCTGCCTGTGAAAGTCCCGGTCGTCAAGATTAGCCGGGACAAACAAACATATATAAAATGCGATTATTCTAATATTGCAAACAGATACTCTAATTTTATTTATTTGTATACGACCGCGTGAATTAAATCATGTCATATGCCTATGATGTAGGTACCCGCAGGTGAAAGAATTTTTAAAATCAATCCAATAGTTTAGAAGTCTGTTCAATGCAAACAAACAATCGAATCTTTACTCTTTATGATATTGGTATATATGAACAAAACTGATTAAGTTCCTCTTAAGATCTCTTTAGAACTTAAATAATTACATAAGATAAATCAGTTAGTTCGTAAACCAGTCGCGCATTGATAATTTCAAAATTCAAACTCAACTGGTCTTTGTTCAATGTAATTTAAAACTAGTTGGTGATGTTTCACATCAAAATTTTAATTAGTCCTTGTGTTGTGATCGCTTTTTAAGTTGTAGCTTTTGGTAAGGAGCTAATGCTAATTATAAGCAACACTGCACACCACTGTCTTATAATGAAAAGAGCAAAATTTGTCCAAAAAAATGTCCTAATAAATTATTGCCATTTATCACATGAAACATGTATAATAAAAAATAACAATCTCCACAGAACGTGACCGCGACAACTGTAGAGCAGTGGCCGGTCAAACTAGCCGAGTATATACGTCACAACGACGAGACGAACGCGAAAGCGGCAGAGCGTATAGTGAGCACTCTCACCGACGAATTGTTGCCTTGCGCTTCTTTCGCTGAGATGTGCGACGCCGCTGGCTTGTTGGCCGAAATACCTGCCCCTGATTCCACCCTGCAGGCGGCCCTGGACGCGTTACCCTGAGCCCGGCCTCGCACCGCCTCCTGCCTCGGCTACAACGGATGCATGGCAACTTGACTTCATTCATCATTCGGTCTACGGAATAGGCAGAACTATTTTTTATCTACTTCGGACATAAATGACACATTAACTAGCAAATCTGATTACTAACTTTCGGTAAATTTGGTTTTAAGATTGACAAATTAAATAATTTACGCATTAGTATTCAACAAAAAATTATAAAACCGTATTGCGAATTAGTGTCAATATTACGATCTTAGAAATGATAATTTTATGCAAAATAGGCAGGGTCGATTAAAGAGCTAAGTCAGCTTTTTCCTTTGCATGTTAAGGTGAAAATTGTGAGTCTTGCTTTTTAGATCACTGTAATTTTGGTTGCTAAAGTTATAAGTTTATTTTTTTTACTAAAAGTACGATATTTTATACGTATATGGATACATTTAGGATGCCAGAACTTAAATGTACATCGTATATGTACTACCTAAACTGTAGTATCCTACAAAGAGTGTAACGTTGCTAATAGATGCATATTTATTTATAAATTACTTAAGATTTGGCATTACTAAAGTTTACTACTAAAGTTTTAATTACGATTAATTTAAAACCACCAGAATCTTATTCATATTAACGTATGTATACGTTTAAGATCACCTGTCCTAAATAGTTCTGCCTATTCTGATCTCTGCTCACCACTAATACGTCTCTATTTTTCTGTTAAATCTACCAGTTTATTCATGTTACTACTTTTAAAGGTGTCTTCTATCCAGGATTGCGGTGTACCGTCCAATTATAATGACGATATGACGTCTAGTCTATTGAACTGTTAATGTACTTATCCATAATCTCGTATACAGAATATAAAGATTTTAAACAATAAATGTCGATGTCGCAATTGATGTTTCTACAGCTTAAAGTTGTATATCGGAAACACGACGCTGACATTACCTCCTTAAAAACTGTAATATAGAAGCTACTTGTGAATAAGCACCGCTTTTACTAGATTTGTGACGTAGGCCGCGTCTGATAGTGGAAAGGTTCTCTGTTGCTTTTAAATTTTCCCTTATGCATTAACTATATGCTATCCCACAACCTGTATCACATCAAACCGCGGCTAACGAAATAAATAGAATGTTTCCATATTGGTGTATTTTAAAATATTTGCTGCTTTTATTGATTTAATTTCTGAATCTATTCATATGTATAATGTAGGTATTACTCATAATAAACAACGTGAACGGCACACAATAGGACTAGAATAGAGCCGTACAATTTTAAATAGTTCAATTTGTCAAATTAGCGTCAGTAAGGTTTCATATGAGACGTACCGTCGACACATACCTTTCACTAGTCGGGGTCAAGGCTCTGCGGTAAATAATACAGTTCGAATGAATGTCACTAATAATGTATTAGATTTAATTAAATAGCTTTTCAATGTTTGCCTCCATGTATTCTTGTATTCGGTGCTTCAATGTAATCGCATTTTTTGTTTTATTTAATAAATAGTTTTCGCTTTATATTTTGTTTTATTGAAGTTCATTTTGAAAACAAAGTTCTGTTACAAAAAACTTATGAAACCGTAAAATTAAACGATCATATTATTGTAATAATAATAGCATCTTAATCTCTATGATTCTTAAAAATACAGCACGCCTTGCAGGTTTCATAAAAGGGATAGATAATGAGAATTTGAAGACTGCACGGCAATGCCCACAATTTCACTGTTCTCCACATAATTTTGATTTATGCCAGATTACTAAATTTATAAATTGATTTATTAGAATAAAACTGAAGAGCATCTTGAATTTAAATTGTCATTTATTAATTAAAGAGTACTTTTTTATAGGGGTCATTTATAATACTTATATTTTCACCACAACACACCTAATCAGAATAGAGTATTTGACGCTTCTGAAAACTATTTGAAATCATTGTTTGATACAAATTTAAATACGCTGCAATACATTGGAAATAATTGTTAAAGTTTAAATAGCCAAAATCGCTGCTCTATGTAATAGCGCTGATCACTTGCTATTTGTGACGTCACATGCCTGTAAATATGTCGAGGCGACATAACCCATTTATTTACGAAATAAACAAACAGTATTACAGAAGAGAAATCGAAGTTAAATTTTATGTTTTGTATTTGTATTTACTCTGGTTTTGTTTGTAAAAATGAGCTACAAATTACATGTATAAATACAAATTTCGCGTAAACTCTAATAACAGTTTTGACATGACAGCTTCCTGTTTACGTGTGTGACGTCACTGGTAAACAAAAACCTACCCTGCGAATCTGTAAAAATCTACCCCCAAATTGGAATTCACTGAGTTCACTTCAAAAAGCTCCATCCCCTCAACTTTGAATTGGTAATAACGTTTCGTGGCATAAGTGAAATGAGTTTCGAAATGACAGTAATAGAATATCTGAGACACTTATTCGATACATTTTGATTTGTGTTTTTATACAAAAAATGGAATCAATAGAATTTCTACACTAAATGATGTCAATTTGGACACATGAGTGAATTCGAATTCGGCGAACAAAAAGAATGTTGCAATTTCTTTTCGTTATTTTACTAAAGCTAAACATATTTTGTCTGCAAATTCTAAGAAATAAACTTCATTAGATTATTATCTAACAGGATGACCACAACACGCAATTTATTTTTAATAGCGATGATATAGAGGAACGTAAATACCTACCCAGAAAATAAAACGTGCAGTCAAAATCAGAATTTGCGACTACTGCTCAATCGGTTTTTTTAGTTATATGTGAAGCATTTACCGGCGTTAGAAAAGCGTCCCGGCTGTTTGAGGTCAGCCTAATATTCATGAAGACTTCCAAACTTTGAAAGTGACAATGACATTGAAGATATTCTAAGTGCAGTTTGTAATTAACTGCTTTGTGCCATTCATAAAGAATCCTCTCATAAAGTAGGTCGGTGCATTCATGCTGTGATCGTTGATGTCTCGCCCTTGAACGTTGAGAGCACATTTTTAATGTGAAACTGTGAGCATTGCGCAGGCGCCGCTGATATGTCGCCCGTGATTATAGCGGGAGTCACGACACTTGCACAACACCACGTAAGGGTACGGCGATCGTGCCTTTTCATACATGTCAATGTTAAACTTGAAATAGAAAAATAAACATGATTAGACTGTCTAATAACACTCTTAAAACACACTTCAGTAACTACTTGGTTTGTACGACTAAGCTCCATATATGTCATGGATCTATAGTATATAGACTATATATGTAGAAGGCCTGACAAATTAAGTGATGAGCGATGTACAAATGGACAACATGGAAGTTATAACTTCTTATGCTTGATTAAGCACTTTTGTTTCAGCGGAACAACTACGAAGGAAATTATAGGTACATTTCGTAATTAACTTCTAAAAAATGACTTAAAATGACTTTAAAATTAAATTTAGGTTACAGTATGATCTGTATGCAATTAATTATGTAATTTCGTTTTAATTATTTATATTAAGGATATAAACATATACATAACTATTAAACTAATTTAAAAAAGAAACAGAGTAAGCTTAAGAGTACCTATTTTACAGAGCCACACAACTTATACCCAGGTCAAGCTTATCAATTTCAAAAAATAATTTGAGAAAATTCTAATTGAATCAGACTGCAGAATCCTCTCAAATTATTTTTCACTTTTAATAAGCTAAGAAGTGTCTTCAAATATGTACTTTTTCACGTTTTTTTAAGTTGATTTTACATTTTAGGAGTAGTTTAGGATTTAGGAGAGATATAATATAGAAATGTATCGATATATTTATATTAATATTAACCGCCCGACTTCAAATTGAAAAAGTTTCTCAAACTATTTTTCAATGTTATTAATTTCGAAGGACCAACGTACTGTGAGAAGTGTAATGGTATGAAGATATGTTAATGAATCAATCATATTTTAAAGTGATGGCGTAGTTTTTTTTCTGACGCTCTCGTTTTATTTTTATTATAAGTAAGTCTTTGAAGGTAAGTAATTAGGCATATGCATATAGATATCGCATGAATTTACAATTCCTAATGTCCTGTTGTGACATATCGCACTGAAACCTAAATGTCAATAAGGAGGTATGTGACACAGACTAAATAATTACGTACTGACACAGTATGCAATAATTTATGTTACACACCCTTCGAGCTTGAAACAATTATACTTGCAAATTGAACACAATGTATGTAATAAAACAATTATCACAAATAATAATGTCATGGATTATGCGCTTTAAATTTAACTAGAATACTTTTACAAATTTTCTTTGCGATCAATCAACCATGGAAAATAACAATAATTGATGAACAGTAATATAATTAAAACTACTTACAGTGCCCAAGTTTAGTACAAAAAAAAATCTTTACATGCTTAAATGTGATCAGACAAAAATGTTACAAAACATAAAAATAAAAAAATAATTTATTGTAGACATTATTATATTTGATCAATTTTGCTTTTACTTAACTATTAAAAACTTTTCCTAATGAAAAATGGTAAAAAAATCCGCCATACCTAGATTAGACTACTAATAGCGACTGTAATAGAGAGTAAGAATAAAATTTATAACCAGAAGCGTTATTCTATTTATATTATATAAAGCTTAATTACCACTCACTGACTCACTGACTCACTCCATGCTTTTTTCGGGTAGTTAAAGTAGGAAAATGACATTTTCGTGTATGGAGACTGACTATATTTTTTTTAAATGAGTTGAAGTACCATATCGGTACAGCCAAAAAACAAAATGGCGGCGAGAGAATTTTTTTAAATTGTACATTATTCACTCTACGGTTACGATATTCAAAATGGTCGTAGAGTGGGCTAAAAAAATGACACTGAAAAAGGGTTTGATTAAAAAAACAAAATGGCGGCCGAGATATTTCACCTGGAAATTTGGCATTTTTCGACCTCTGTTCGGGCCATCGTCAATTGTTTTTTTGTGGGTTCTGAGGGGGTATTTTTACGCTGGCGACTCGGAAATATAGTCGATTTTTACGTAGGGCGAGTTTTTGTTTGTGCTTCAACATGGCGGCGGCGGGGGCGGCCATTTTGTTTCGACATTGAAAAATCGCCATTTTTCAGTGAGATTTTCTCCAAG